AACAAATTTTTTTACGAGTTTCAAGCAGGGAATTGACATAACCTAATTCACTCTAGCTGATTTGTGAAGGCCGATGATTGGAATAAAAGTGAAAGCTGGGGCTGGGCATGGTGGCTCACACCTGTAATCCCAGCACTTTGGGAGGCTGAGGCAGTCGGATCACCTGAGGTCTAGAGCTCAAGACCAGCCTGGCCAACACATTCAAACCCCATCTCTACTAAAAATAAAAAACTAGTCGGGTGTAGTGGCACGCACCTGTAGTCTCAGCTACTCGGGAAGCTGAGGCAGCAGAATCACTTGAACCCAGGAGGCGGAGGTTGCAGTGAGCCAAGATCGTACCACTGCACTTCAGCCTGGGCGAGAGTGAGACACTGTCTCAAAAAAAAAAACCCTGAAAGCTGGGAGGCCAGCTAGTAGGCTGTCACACTACTGGACACGGCTGTCACACGGCTGACAGCAGGAAGCAGGAAGGAAGGTAGGTGATTCCGGGCAGAACCAATATGCTAGTGCTAGAAGGGATGACGAGGGGATTGCTGAGGAGGGCGTGTCAAGAATGACACTGAAGGTTCTGGCTCAGAAAATTCACCTGAGTTATCTGCATTGGTAGCAGACACAATTAAGTTAATTCACATACTTCATTGGCACTTATTCGTTCAATGAGTATTAGGTGCCAACCAGGTGTCAGCCAGGCACCGGTCTAAGTGCTAGGATTTCAGCAGTGAATAAAGTCTATGCCCTCAAGGGCACAGACATTCTACAGAGAGAAGTCAGAGAAACACATACATCAAGTAGTGGAAAGAAAAACAAATACACAGAGTTTGGGGCCGACTAGAGCTGGAAAATGGCGGCGTCCGTAGTCTGCCGGGCCGCTAGCACCGGGGCACAAGTGCTGCTGCGGACCCCAGCCTTGCGGAGTACGGCAACCTTCGCTCAGGCGCTCCAGTTTGTGCAGGAGACGCAGGTTAGCAAACTGGACAATGGCCTGCGTGTGGCCTCGGAGCAGTCCTCCCAGCCCACTTGCACAGTGGGAGTGTGGATTGATGTTGGCAGCCGTTTTGAGACTGAGAAGAACAATGGGGCAGGCTACTTTGTGGAGCATCTGGCTTTCAAGGGAACAAAGAATCGGCCTGGCAGTGCCCTGGAGAAGGAGGTGGAGAGCACAGGGGCGCATCTTAATGCCTGCAGCACCCAGAGCACACAGCTTGCTACATCCAGGCGCTGTCCAAGGATCTGCCAAAAGCTGGGAGATCCTGGGTGACACTGTGCAGACCTGTAGTCTGGCAGACTCAGAGATCGAGAAGGAACGTGATGTGATCCTGCAGGAGATGCAGGAGAATGATGCCTCCATGCGAGACGTGGTCTTTGACTACCTACATGCCACAGCATTCCAGGGCACGTCTCCAGCCCAGGCTGTGGAGGGGACCAGTGAGAGTGTCAGGAGGCTGTCTCGTGCAGACTTGACTGAGTACCCCAGCAGGTATTACAGGGCCCCTCAAATGGTACTGGCAGCGGCGGGAGGAGTGGAGCACCAGCAGCTGTTAGACCTTGCCCAGAAGCACCTGGGTGACATCTCTTGGCAGCAGCCGGAGGATGCTGTACCTGCTTTTACTCCATGCCGCTTCACTGACAGTGAGATCCGCCAGCATGATGATGCTCTACCTTTAGCCCACATGGCCACTGCAGTAGAGGGTCCTAGCTGAGCCAGCCCAGACAGTGTGGCCTTGCAAGTGGCCAATGCCAGTATCAGCCACTATGACTGCACTTATGGTGGTGGCGCGCACCTGTCCAGCCACTGGCTTCAATCGTCGCGGCCAACAAGCTGTGCCAGTTTCCAGACCTTCAACCTCCGCTATGCAGAGACAGGCTTGCTGGGTGCACACTTTATCTGTGACTGAATGAAAATCGGTGACATGATCGATGTGCTGCGAGGCCAGTGGACGCACCTGCGTACCAGTACCATGGACAGCGCAGTGGCTCGGGGCAAAAACATCCTCAGAAATGCCCTGGTATCTCAGCTAGACGGCACTACTGCTGTGTGTGAGGACAGCAGACGCAGCCTCCTGACCTACGGCCGCCGCATTCCCCTGGCTGAATGGGAAAGCCGGATTGCGGAGGTAGATGCCAGTGTGGTGCGTGAGATCTGCTCCAAGTACTTCTATGACCAGTGCCCAGCAGTGGCTGGATATGGCCCCATCGAGCCGCTCACAGGCTACAGCCGGATCCGTAGCGGCATGTTCTGGCTGCACTTCTAGGCAGGAAGCCTGTGTAAACAAGAGGGCAGGGCTGGGGCTCGTGGTCCCCCCCACCACAAATAGCACTCTGGCTCCTCCAACCTGTGCCACAGGTGGCCACCAATAAAGTCCTCTGCTGAGAAAAAATAAAAAATAAATAAATACACAGAAAATAATCACACAACAGGTAGTGAAAAGAAAAAGAAGACAGAGTAATCGGGGATGGCAGTGCTATTTTGAAGAGTGGCATGGGAAGACCTCTCTGGTATTGTAATGTCTGAGCAGAAACCAGAAAAGTGGCATAGTGAGCCATATGGATATTGGACATTCAAAATATTTTCAGAAAAAAACAAAACTCTGGGATGAAGTAATCAAACAAAACATTATTGAAAACTCAGCCATCACCAGCCAGCTGATGCAAGTAAAGCTTAAAGAATTTGCCCAGTCTTTTGCAAGAAGGTATAGAATTTCAGATTTTAGAGCAAGGGGAGTTTGGGCACGACTGGCGCACACATGACAGACCAATGACTTTCAAAGCTACTAACAGAAACCAATCCAATTTTTTTTTTTTTTTTTGAGACAGAGTTTCACTCTTGTTACCCAGACTGGAGTGCAGGCACGATCTTAGCTCACCGCAACCTCTGCCTTCTGGGTTCAAGCAATTCTCCTGCCTCAGCCCCCCGAGTAGCTGGGACTACAGGCACGTGCCACCATGCCCAGCTAATTTTTGTATTTTTAGTAGAGACGGGGTTTCACCTCGTTGACCAGGATGGTCTCGATCTCTTGACCTCGTGATCCACCCACTTCGGCCTCCCAAAGTGCTGGGATTATAGGCGTGAGCCACCGCACCCAGCCACCAATCCAAATTTTCTAGATGACTTCGAAGTTGCTACAATTCCACTGATACATCATTCAATTAAGGGGAAATGTGTAAGTTAAACAGGAAATACAGACAAAAGTCTCTAGGTTCACAGCATGGGTTAAGACAATTAGCCCATCACTACAATGCTCTGCCTAAGAGGCAAGGCTCAAAAATGGTTCAGAACACTCTCCAGGGTCTAAACTCAGAGGCAGCTTAGAAAAAAAAAAGTCCCTAGGGTACTGAAGAGATGAAATGCAACCCTATGGATGAATATAATCTCTGGTCAGTTAATCTGAGGGGAAAAACATACATATGCATAGTATATGTGCACACGTGTATGTATAATTCTCCCTCAGTTAAACGCTTACCAAGAGCCTTTAACTAGAAGCAGTTCAACCCCATTTGATGACAATGAAGAACATCCATTTCAAAAAAATTTATTTATGACTCTTTTGTTAACACACACAGGAAGGGTTTTGGTCATGTGAACGAATAATTTATTTCTTAAAAAAGGCTTTTGAGGTCTTTGTTTTTCAAGGCAAATTAACACTTTTTATTGACCTCCAATCTGACAGGTCTACTATGTATATATATATAGCACATATATAGTATGTGTGTGTCTATGAGTGTGTATGTATAGAACTCAGCTTTTTCACCCCAAAGCATGTTTTTAAATCCATCAGGTAACTGTAAATAACAGCTTTCTCAATCAAGATCCACAATATCCCAAAGAGAAGCTGCTGGAATTAAGAAAATATGGAACAACCCAGCCACAATGTATTGACATCAACATGAATAAGAAAAAAATTACTGCGTGTTGCAAACCACTCAGGCTTTGGCGTGAACTGTTAAGAGCAGTTTAGTCTAGTTGACTGATACAGAAAGACACCAAGGCTTGGCTCCAGAAAAGTCCTTCCATTCTGCCCCAGTTCAGGCCCTCACTTCCCAGCTCCACCTGTGCACCATCCCCTATCTTCTAGCCCACCTTGAGTAATCTTTCTAAACTATGGATGTGACGGCCATTCCCCGATTATCAGAAGTTATGTTTCCCCGGCTGTCCTTGTTTTCACTGAAGAACCCAGACTGGCAGGCACATGAGCGAGGATCTTAGATATCACAACAAAGCTGAAAACAGCTTCTGTGACTTTTCTGTGCTCAGGTACTTGATTTTTAAAATGTCTATTTTACACATTAATCCAAAACATGTATCTATTTTATGAATTAGATTTAGTAATTCTTGAAATTGCACCATGCCTACGCTATGGCTCTGAGTATACATTAGCACTCTGTGAGAAAACATTCCAGGGTGAAGAAATGTCACTGAAGTGCAGACTTATGAAGATGAATTAAGTCCTTAACAAAGGTTCTTAGCCCTGTCTGCCGACTTCACTCTGTCTCCCACAACCCATCCACACTCCTTAACTTCCAGCTCACCGGCCATCTCCCCAGTGCTATAACTTGAAAGGCTTCTGCTCACTTTGATCCCTGTGCCTCATATGCCTTCACTCATTTCTACTTTTCAGGCCCAGGTAAGTCACCTGCTCTGAGTTTGCACACTCCCCTATGCAGAGGTGACTCCCTCCTCAGGGCTCCCACAAGACACCCACGCACTCTGTCTGCAGTTCCTTATATTCCGTTTCTGTCCCACACCTTCGCCCCATTCATCTCTTACCTTTACGTGCAGGATATGAAGCACGTCACATTCCCACTGGGTGACTAAACACATGTCTGCTGCTGAAAGGTAGGGGCTGGACCCAGAGGATGGCCGAAAGTTTTTCTCTCCAGAACTGGGTTTCTGTCAGCTCATCTCCATAGCATGTTCCAGAAATAATTCTCCCTCAGTTAAAGGCTTACCAAGAGCCTTTAACTAGAAGCAGTTCAACCCCATTTGATGACAATGAAGAACATCCATTTCAAAAAAATTTATTTATGATTCTTTTGTTAACACACACAGGAGGGGTTTTGGTCATGTGAACGAAAAATTTATTTCTTAAAAAAGGCTTTTGAGGTCTTTGTTTTTCAAGGCAAATTAACACTTTTTATATGTTTGACTTTGACCTCCAATCTGACAGGTCTACTACCCTGATGAACTGGAAGAGACTTTCCAGGCCCTGATAATGTCTTTTCCTTTCTCCAGTCTCTCAAGGCTCTTTGTAGACTGTCTCTTCAGTGCCATTCTCTGAAGCCCCTGTGATGTGTGAGGGTATTACAACAGTCCATACTCACTGCCTTGTCACATAAGGTCAGCTATGCTGTCTAAATCAACTCACCTGACAGATTACACAAGATACATCAGACAATGTGCCACAAAACATAGCTCTCCTCTTTCATCTCACAGAGGAACGAAAGTTCCAAAATATATACAAAACCACTTCCATCTCCAGCTGTCTTCTCGGTCTTCCCAGCTTTATGCAAAGCTGCCTCATTAATACATTCTTCACGAGGCTCAACCAAGTAGTGCAAGGCAGGCCCCTCTAAAGTCGGAAGATTCTGATCCCAGGTCTTGATGTGTTCCAAAAAACAATCAGGTCACAAAGGTAACAGCAAAATACAAGGTCATGCCCAACATTTCAAAAGCAAGTAACAAGAATAAAAGTAACGGCGAAAACAACTTTTGATGAAGCCCCGTTTCTCTTACAACAGTATTTCTCCCACAAAAGTTATCCTTCCAGAACCAAATACATTTGAAGATGTAAACCCATACCGAGCTTATCAATCACTGACCATAAGGGAGACTGTTACATGGGGGTAAAAAACATACAAAAACAAAACAGAGATGACAAGCGGTTTCGGTTTCCTCAATGTGTCAGTTCATCCTTACCAGCTGACTATAGTCCTCAGCTGTGAACCTAAAGCACAATTGGGAGAAATTGACCATGAAAAGTTCCATATCCTGATGTTAAAAATAAATGTTAACCAACCAGAAGAATGCCACTGCTTTGAGACAGGGTCTTCTGACATACCTGCCTCATAGAACAATCTGGAAATTTCAGGTAATGTCCTCTGGCTTTACTCTTTCTCTTTGCCTGCGTTCTCGCCCTGCGTTCCATTTTGCTCTACGGCCTAGGTTTTCTTTGGCTTTCCCCAAACTCCCTTGGTGCCTAGTCAGGTCTACTTCTGGGGACCGCCCTATTAGAATTGACTTTCATGTTTCACAAACCCCAAGTTACTTTTATTTTCCTCTATCAGTGTGGGAGGGAGAGGCCATACAAAAACGGTACACTAACACCTAACAAAACCAGCACGCATTCTTTCCTCTTGACCCCAACTTCGTTCCCAATGCTCAATTTTTGATGCAATAAAAATGGGGGGGGGCGGGGAGTGCAGGCCTAGGATATAACTTTTGACAGGGCGCGGTTTCACACCATGCTTAGGGCGACTACTGAGTTCCATCCGAGCTCCCGCCAGGTTCAGACCTTACCACCGATGTCCTCCTTCAAGAAGACTCACTTCTCTCTATTCGCCAGACGAGCTCGACCAGCATCTCTGCCATCTTCGCGATCTCCTTGGCCTTCTCCTCGGCCTTCTCGCACAACTCCGACACTCTCTCGTCGGCTTCGCCACTCGGGTGCTGCGCCTGGTTGAGGGCGCTCTCCTCCGAGGCCTCCACCTGCGTCTTGATCTGGATGAGCATATTGTCCATCTCCCACAGCTTGCTCCTGGTCCGCAGGTACGCCCGCCCGTGCTCGCGTATAAGAGACGCGATGTCCTCGCGCATCTCGTTGATGACCGGGAGCAGGAACTGCTCGAAATCCTCCTCGGGCTCCAGCACCTCCACCTCCTCTGGCGCTTCCACCTCGTCGATGTCCAGGGGCCGCATCTCCTCCTGCCGCTTCTTTAAGACCGCAGTAGTGACGTTATCCTTACTGGACCCCCCTGGGGACTGCAGATCAGGAGTTACTGCTGGAGTCTAGGCGATCCACACGCTTTGTCCATAGTACTCCCGAATTATCTTTAAATTTTTTCTTCCTTTTAATTGTAAGCCTTTCGCTTCGGAACTCTATCGGAAGAATCACCGTGGATGGACACAGCGCAGCGACCAACAAAATGGAGACGCAGCCGTCAACTCGCCCTCCGCCTGTTTGCGGCCCTTTCACGACAGGGCCGGGCCCCTTTACGGTCACGCCTTTGGCAAGACCAGGTAGCGGGCGCGCGCGGCCCATTCGCCACCTGTTTCCCGGCGCTCCGCTCGGCTCTCTTCTCTAAAAATTAGGTCGGTGGCGGCAGGTTTGTTCGCGTCTTCCTCGGAAAGCTCTCTTTAGAGGGCTTTTACTTTTATTATTTTTTTTAAGTAAAAGCGACCCTCCCCATCCCTATATTTGAATAAGACGGGCTGGCGTTCACAGCGCTTACTCTCTAAACATGCACAAGCTTGGAATAATTTATATGAAATTCACTTAGCGCTCACAACGAACCTATAAGAGAGGTAAAAACCAGGCCAGAGTCATGATTTGAGCCCAAAGCAATGTGTGTCCACAGTGTCTGCTCACTGTTCCAGAACGGAGCAGGTCCCTTGTTCTTCCCACCCCTGGCTCATGCTTTTTTTCTCGGGGGGTAGGGGGTGGATTTCTCTCTCTGCTTTGGGTGGTTCTGGCCTGTGGTTTTTAGTCGCTCTTCAACAGTCTGTAAGGTTTTCAAGGTAAAGGGCCACTTCTGTTTCAGTTCTGTCCTCCGCCCTTCCTATCAGCCTGGCGTCAAGCAGGGCCTTAGGGGATGCTTTAGAGACAGGAATTCTTCTCTAGTACCTCAGTGCCTCTGCCAGACTGGAGGCTGTTTGGGGATGGGTTCTGGTCTTGCTCACCCTTATGTAGCTACCACACACAGGACCTGAAAGTCAGCAGGGGCCTAGTAAATGTGGCTTTGATCACCAACCTGATGCCTTTGTGGAATAGAGGAGTCTATTGCGAGGCTTAGTCACCCAGTGCCACACTAGTAGTGATACGAGTGTGTGTAGAGGGGGGAATCCTTCTTGCACAAGTGCCATAGATGAGAGCTTCAGTTTTCCAGTCTCATAAAGACCAATGGCCCCAGCCTGAATATCTGTCAGTGGGAAGAGGCATTTGTAAGATGATGTGTGTGAAACAGTTTTGCAACCACCAATGTTCTAGCAGATGTTCATCAAAAGAACATTAAGAGAAAAAGAGCAGGACACTGAAAAAAAGGGTATTTTCAATAGCTCTATCTGGCAAAGGACTCATGCAGAATATATCGAGAACTCCTAGAGATCAACAAGAAAAAAAATTTTTTTTAATGGACAAAAGACAAAAGCTGGCACTTAGCAAAAGAGAATATCCAAATGGCCAATAAGTACGTGAAAACGTGCTCAACGTCACGATTCAGCAGAGAAATGAAAATTAAAACCGCAATGAGGAAGCACTGTCCATCCACTAGAATGACTCAAATTTAAAATGCTGACAATACCAAGCATTGGGGAAGATGCTGAACAAACGGAACTCTCATGCATTCTTGATGGATGTCTTACTCCACTCTGGGCACCACAACTAAGCACCAGAGGCTGCGTGGCTTAAACACAGACATTTATCTTCTCACAGTTCTGGAGGGCAGAAGTCCATAATTAAGATGCCAACAAATTTGGTTTCTGGAGGCGAGGGCTCTCTTCCTGAACTGCAGATGGTCACCTTGCTGCAGTCCTTACACGATCTCTTCTTTGTGTATGCAGTGTTGGGAGGTACAGAAAGGAGTGCTTGCTTACGTCTTTTCTTAGAAGAACATGAAGCTCTAGGCTCATGCCGCAGCCCTTATGACCTTATTTAACCTTACTTCTGTACTCCAAGTACAGCCACCCCGGGGTTGAGGGCTTTAATATCAAAATATTGGGGGACACATATATTCAGCCCATAATAATGGGAATGTAGGTTGTTACAACAATTTTAGAAAACTATTTGGCAGTATCTACCAAGGTTAGACATATACCAACCCTATGTTCTAGCAAATTGACAGCTTGGTATACACTCGAGAGTTTGAGTGCTATTGTTTATAAAAATACATGTACAAGAATCTTTACAGCAGCTTTATTATAATAGCCCCAAAGTTAAAACCACGCAAATGTTCATCAGCAGGAGAATAAATAAATAAATGAATAAGTGGTAGCACATTCCTTCAATGGTTTATTACTGCATAACAAGTCACCCCAAAATGTGGCAGCTTGAAACAGCATTTATCATCTGTCTTAGTGCATTTGGACTGCTATGACAAAATACCATAAGGTGGGCAGCTGATAAAAGAAATTTATTTCTCACAGTTCTGGGGGATGGGACGTCCAAGATCAAAGTGCTGGTAGATTCTGTCTGGTGAGGGCTAGTATTTTGGTTTGAAAATGGTTCCTTCTAGCTGTGCCCTCACATGATGGAAGGAGCAAGAGGTCTCTCTTACACATCTTTTTTTTTTTCTTTTGGAGACGGAGTTTCACTCTTGTCGCCCAGGCTGGAGTGCAGTGACTCAATCTCTGCTCACTGAAACCTCCACTTCCCAGATTCAAGTGATTCTCCTACCTTAGCCTCCTGAGTAGCTGGGATTACAGGTACCCACCACCATGCCCAGCTAATTTTTGTATTATTAATAGAGACAGGGTTTCACCATGTTGGCCTAAGTGCTATAGCTGATGAAGGTAGAATGATTGATGTGTGACCTCAGGTGAGGAGGTCATCCCAAAGGGCTGGGGTTACAGGTGTGAAGACACATCGCCTGGCCCTCTTTTACATCTTTTGTGTATTTATAGACAAACTCTTGCTCTTTTGTTCAGGCCAAAGTGCAGTGGAATGAGCATAGCTCACTGCCTCAAACTCCTGAGCTCAAGTGGTCCTCCAGCCTCCACCTCTTGAGTAGCTGGGACTACGAGCACATGCCACCATACCCAGCTTAATTTTTTTTTTTTTGTAGTGACAGGGTTCTTGCAGTGTCACCCAGGCTGGTCTCAAAATCCTGGCCTCAAACAGTTCTCCTGCCTCTGCCTCCCAGTGTTGGGATTACAGGCATGAGCCACTGCAGCTGGCCTCATATCCTTTATAAGGGTACTAGTCACATTCATGAGGGCTCTGACCCCAAGAACAAATGACTTCCCAAAGACCCCATCTCTTGATATCACTGTGTTAGACTGTTATCACATTGCTATAAAGAAATATCTGAGAGTGGGTAATTTATGAAGAAAAACGGCTTAATTGGCTAAGGAGTCTGCAGGCTGTACAGGAAGCATGGTGCTGGCATCTGCTTGGCTTCTGGGGAGGCCTCAGGAAACTTACAATCATGGCAGAAGGCAAAGGGAGAGCAGGCATGTCACATGACCAGAGCAGGAACAAGAGGTGGGAGAAGGTGCCACACACTTGAAATGACTAGATCTCACAAGAACTCACTCATCACAGGAACAGCACAAAGGGAATGGTGCTAAACCATTCATGAGAAATCTGTCCCCAAGATCCAGCCACCTCCCACCAGGCCCCAGCTCCAACACTGGGGATTACATTTCAACATGAGCTTTGGGCAGGACATCCAAACCATATCAATCACCTTGTGGGGTAGAATTTAAACATAGGAATTTGGATCTGGGTACACACACATTCAGACCATAGCGTCATCTTATGTAGTTTCAGTTTAGTATCTTATATGAGGTTGCAGTTAAAATATCAGCTGGGGCTGCAGCCATATCTGAGTTGGAATGAGGCTGGAGCATCCAGTTCCAAGATGGCTTACTCATGCGGTTGTTGGAAAGAGACTGCTTTTCTCTAGCTGTTGGTCTCAGCTCCTTGCTATGTGGGCTTCTCTATAGAGCTGCTCACAACAAGGCAGCTGGTTTTCCCCAGAGCAGTGGTTTGTGAACCCCAAATATCTGAGAAATGTCTCAGTCGATTTCGAAAGTTTATTTTCCCAAGGATGAGCGACCGTGACACAGCCTCAGGAGGTCCTGATGACATGTGCCCAAGGTGGTCGGGGCACAGCTTGGTTTTACACATTTTAGGGAGACATGAGACATCAATCAACATATGTAAGATGAACACTGGATTTGTCCAGGTGGGACAACTCGAAGCAAGCAGGACAACTCAAAGGTCGGGGCCAGGCGGTGGGGGGTTGGGGGGGGCGCTTCCAGGTCTTGGGAAGATAAGAGACAAACGGGTGCATTCTTTTGAGTTTTTTTTTTTTTTCTTTCTGTCACCCAGGCTGGAGTGCAGTGGCATGATCTCAGCTCACTGCTACCTCTGGCTCCCAGGTTCAAGCAATTCTCCTGCCTCAGCCTACCAAGTAGCTGGCATTGCAGGTGTGTACCACCATGCCCAGTTGATTTTTGTATTTTTAGTTGAGACAGGGTTTCACCACGTTGGCCAGGCTGGTCTTGAACTCCTGACCTCAAATGATCCACCCACCTAGGCCTCCCAACGAGCAGGCGTGAGCCACCACGCCTGGCCCTTTTGAGTTTCTGACCAGCGTCTCCAAATAAGGCAATCAGATATGCATTTATCTCAGTAAGCAGAGGAGTGAATTTGAATAGAATGTAAGGCAGGTGTGCCCTAAGCAGTTCCCAGCTTGACTTCTCTTTTAGCTTAGCAATTATAAGGCCCCAAGATTTATTTTCCTTTCACAGGTTGGAGGGAAAGAGATGCCACATTAGCTTTTATAAACTAATCTCCAAATCATACATCATCGCTTCTTCTTCAGTTTATTATGAGCTAGTCAAGTCACTAAGTCCAGCCCATTACTCAACAGGAGGGAATACACAAGAGTGAGAATACAAGGAGGAAAAACATCACTGGGAGTCATCTTGAAGGCTGGCTAGCAATCTAGGACTACGATTATTCATGCCGTTTTAACATACTAACCACACTCCCCTCCATCCAGGGTCCCCGAAAGTTACATTTTTTTAAATCTCGTGTAGTTTTAGGTATTACTGTCCTACTGTCACATCAGCTTGAAGTCCAGAATTTTGTCTTGTAAATTAGGGCAGATGTAGATGAGGCTTTCAGAGCATAGTTGCATAAATTCGGCTTGTTAGATGAGGGAACTCCAAGTTTCTCTTCAAAGAATCAGCATGTCAGTATGTTCAGCTCTCTTACTCTTTAATCCTCCATTTTAAAGTTTAACTTCCTTGTAGTTTCAGTAAACAACCTTTTCCACCAGTTCTAATCAGTAGTTCACATCTGTTCCCCCAGTCCCCTGCTCCGTCCTGACATCCTGGTCACCTGCTTTGACCACTGGTTACCTGCTCTCACCTGTCCCGTTACTGTCCTTCTAGCCAAACTACCCCACCTGCCACTCTGGCTAGTACCCTGGCTCTCTTCAAAACAGCCAACTGGAATTAGCCTACACTGTGCAGTCTAACCTTAGCCCACAGGGGAACAACACAGCTGTAGGGGCTACCTCCAACAAGAATAAGAACCCCTTCCCTTCCCTTGTCCAGGTGTGCACTCGCCATTGTTCCATCTCTGAGCTGCACCCTTCTATAGAAGTAAATCGCCTTGCTGAGGAAATTTATATTCAAGTGCTACTTGTTTTGCAGCACTGAAAATTTACATATAACAAGCTCCTAGAGTACAATTCTTCTTGTTCTGTAGACCTTTGAAGCTAAAGAGACAAGTTATCTGCCCCCATGTCTTCAATATACAATTGTGGGGCAGGCACAGGATAACCACTACAGACCAGTTCTACTGCCACTAGATAAACACTGCCATGCCTGTTCAAAAAGGGGGGAAATTGGAAGTACATATAAGTTACCAGTCCATAGTAACTCTGCCATCCAGTCTCAAGGTCTTGGAATAATTCTCCGTGACTCCCAGTTCCATCATCAGTACTCTTGGCTTCATAATTCCTTTTTCATGAAATGTAGAGTCATAATTCCTTTTTCATGACATGTAGAATGTTTTTGCTGATGAGTCCTTTTCTCAG